CCTAGAGTTTTTAGGGTCTTATTCAGATTTGGAACCATTGTTGCTGGCCAGGCAAAAATCACTGTCAGATATTGTGACTCAACACAAAGATTACAGGGTGATGTCTTCATCCCTTCCTCTCACCATTAACCCAGTTATCAGCCTCATTTCTATAACATGGAGTGGACATGGTTTTTCACAACAGCATGTGAACCGATTCCTTTAGAAAGAAGACTTCAGTTAATAGAAACTTCTCTTTATGGTAGCTCATTCATACATGCTATTTTTTGTAGTCTTGTAAAATATAATGAAATTGAGTCCTTCCCTTAGAAAAGCTCATTTATATATGATATTTGATTTAGCACTACTATGATTCCCCCTTAAAACTGCTGAATGTTTATATATGAATCGGATGACTGCAGCCTGACACTGACAGAAAGAGTATGTGATAGATCAGTGATGGCAAACCTTTTAGAGACCGAGTGCCCAAACTGCAACCTAAAACCCACTTATGTATTGTCGGGTGCTGGGTGGGCGTGGCCCATTGGGTGGGTGTGGCTGCAGTGGTAACGGCAGAAAGGGAGGGATTAAAAAGTTAAATCAATCAATTCCAACTTTGCAAGATCTTTTTTTTCCCTGCGAGAAGTTGAAATTGACTGATTGATTGAAACTTTTTTTTTTGTTTGCACACGGCAGTGGAGGCCTAAAGTGAAAAGGTTTTATAAAACCCAGCTGAAGGCCTAGGACTGGGGTGACAGTGCACGTGCCCACAGAGAGGGCTCTGAGTACCGCCTCTGGCACCCGTGCCATAGGTTCACCACCACTGTGATAGATCTTTCTTTAAATCTAGGATCAGATATATTAAAAAATAGAGTGGAATGAAACACAAATTTTAGAGCCATTGGAAGATTGAGCAAGGGAGCTAATCTTCACCCATGTCTGCTATCTTGCCTAGCAAAGCTCAGCTGAGACCATTTCTACACATTCTGTTCATGGACACACCACAAGTGAGCAAATATACAATTTGCATCAAACCTATGTTTAAGTAAATAAGTCTGTAATTATAGATTGTTTGAGCTTCATTGGTCTAATTCTTTGCACTGAATAGCTCAATTACTATTTATTTACATAAGTACTTTAAGTAATATTATACAACACATATCTTGATACTGTAGTTGCAGGTGCAATCTGAGTGCATAAATCCCAGACCTTTATTTGGACTTCCCAAAATGGTTTAATTTTTCAGGTGAGATGAGTAAAATAACAGGGGACTGGCAAATTTAAAGGTGAAATTTTTAAGCAGTTTTTTTTCTCTGCATGCTAATGGATTTTTAGAATTGTAAAAATACAATAACCTAGAAAATTAAATTACTCACAGTGCTGGAAATATTCCTAAAGCCAATTTATCAAATCTTGTACCATACCAGAATATATTAAATCAAAATAAATGAACATTAATTTGCCATAGGTGTCTGTCATAAGGAGATATAAAATTAAGCTATTGTTTAAACCCAGATAGCTTTGGTGTTGATACAATTATTCTTGATCGTTAGGTATTATTGTTGATTGTGATGATAAAGAAATTATTTTAATGTTAAATTTAATTACAGCGGCAAGGTTGTTGATAGGACAATATTGGAAGAAGGAATTTTTGCCTACCTTGGAGGAATGGTTTTTAAAAGTTTCTTATCTATCTGAAATGGCAAAAAGTTCGGCTTATTTGAAAGATCAATCGCAAGAGAAATATCTCTTGGTGTGAAAAAGATGGATAAATTTTATACAGTATAAGTATGATATTAAAAGATATTATTTAGCTTTTGAATAATTTATGTTTAAAGTTTAAGATAATAAGTATTTTTTATTATATATATATATATATATTGGACTTTTTTATTATATGTATATATTGGATTTTTTTTTAATGTAACTTTTGTTTGAGGTTTACTTAAGTTTAAATGTTTTGTATACTTAGTTCTAGTTAACCCTGTATTCAACTGTGGGAAGAGGGGGGGAGGGTTTTTGGGGAGGGTAGGGTGGTAGTGGGAGAGGGATTTTATTGTAAAATTGTAAAACTTTTAATAAAATAAAAAAAAAACAATTATTCTTGATCAACCAGCCAATTAGTGCCACTGGAGTGAGCCTGACTAGATCCAGATTAAACTTTTCCTGACTTTTGATATACTGAGGGACTTACATTGCATAAATTATAAAAGCAAAATTGTTTATTTGCTCATAACTTTGCCAGAAAAGGACAGGAAAGCAGCGAGTTGAATTTTTGAAAGTTCCCTGAGCCTTGATCCTAAAACAGAGTTCAGAATGTTAAATGAAAAGAACGAGTAACATATATTGTACAAGTGCTATTTGTTATTTGACTTTATCATGTATAGAAATTCTCTTGTAAGTAATCAAAAGGTGAAAATTGGACTTAGTCTTGAAACAGCCAATTGAATTTACTATGTATGAAGCAACACCTGAATATAATTTCAGAAGTGACAAGGTTGGGGAATAGCAATAATACTGTCAACTCTAGTAACTAGTAACTTACTCTAGTCTATAACAATTCCAATTCCAACATAATTATGGTTTAAAAACATGGAGTATATTAAGACTACAAGTAATTCAATGATAGATAAGAGCAGAGGCAATATTCAGATGTTTCATTCTTCTTATACTTTGTGAATTCATAGGAATAATTAACAACAAAAATACTGTACAGCATTATAAAATACCAAAGGCACAACAAAATAAATATAGCTTAACTGTCCATCTGTAGTTCTGAATTTAAAAAATCCTGTAAAAGCATTGAGTCTCTCCAAATGCTCTCTATTGCCAGAAGAGTGAATAGTGATTGTTACCCAGAAGTTTTAAACATTTAAAAAACAGCAAAGCAAGCTGTGGGAAATAAAAAAAAAAACACATTCAAAGTGGACCATATGCTTGTCTATCCACAAAAACTAATGCAAAGTTGGAAATATGGCTCTTAATACTTTGTAAAAATGCCAGCTGAGTGAATGAATTTTCTCCCCTTGCAAGAAATCAAAGCTCTTGCAAAATAAATATATAAATAAATTTTCACACATAGTAACACTTAGCTTATTATACCAGATGATACTTTTCTTCTATACCTGCTAGCAAATGTCTGTAAAAGAGGGAGCTTGAACAAGATTTATTTCAATCAGCCAAGATAAGAAACAACAAACACTGATATGACATATCCATGGCAGAGAATCTTGTGTGGTGAGACCTTGCACAACTGACATAAGTGAAGTGTCACAGCAAGGGCTGTGAATTGCTGTTATGAAAACATTTGCAGAAAACTTGCATAATTAAATGAAACTGCTAGAAAAGCTTTTTGAAATGCCATGGAGATTGAATGTAAATAAATACCTTTCATGACAAAAATAAGTATTCAGAATTATACTGGAATCAACTGTGGGAAACGGCAGAAAGTGGGTTCCACAAGGAAAATAGACGCAGCCGATTATGAGAGTTAGATTGTCCAGAGACAAACAACGGGCTAGCAAATCTGACCATTACAGGAAAAAGTCATAAATAAGAACCTTTTATTGATTGCATTTTTATTGGTCATTGACTGAAATAAAGTTCTGTTCTGGCACTTTTGGGCAAAACAGAGAATGGGCAGACTATAATAGACTGGGAAAGGGAAAGCAGACCCAAATGGCTGGAATAGAATAGTGCTCTTGAGACAAAGCAGTCACTAGAATTCTCTCACCATGATTTTCTAACATCTCTTTCATAATTATGCATGAGAAATTCCTGATTTCTGCAAGCTTGTCTAATTGGTCGTGTCTTTTGTGTGAAGCCTGACACTAATATCTGCAACACTACAATCTCTCTCTCATATGAAAAGGGTTTTCAAGGAAACCATACCAAGTTGTTCAGTAGCCAAAGGAGAGTGAAAGGAAAATACAGAATCTATAGGAATTAAGTTTGGAAATAATCAAAACTGATATTATTGCTGAAAATTTCTCCTGTTTTGTTTTTAGAATTCTCATTTGAGTTGATTGGGAAAACTTGCTTTTGTTCCCACCCTACCTCTTCAGAGACGGGAAAAAAAAAAACCTTGAGGAACAGCAAGAATTTTTCTGTTTTGAAATTCTTGTATTATGAGGTGGCCAAAAGTAAATATATGGACAACTTGTCTTTATAGTGAAAGAATGTAATATGAAGTGCTGCGTTATGTTATTGTATACATCATTATAGAGCAGGTGTATATCCAGAAAGGATCCATCTGTTTAACTCCAATCTAAACATATAAGGGAGTTTAACATTTTCTTGTATATAAATATGATATTTCTCCTATTCCGCTGAACAATTTAATTTCTTCTCACAGAAGAAATTCTCTTCTCATACAATAGAAAAATGGTAATCTTTGTCAAGAGATCATTTCTTTCCCAACTCTCCTAAGCTGAGGAGAAAAAGGCAATGCTATAGTATTTCAGCTGTGTGAAGTACCTGAGATTGGAACCTTTTGCTCCAAAAGTAGATGGTTTTGTGATGTTAGTACCAAAAGAAACACAATAGCATTATGGAAAAAAAATGATAGAATTATAAGTGTGGTAGTGATGAAGATATAATCAAGGATAGAAAGATATGACCCATATAGCTGAAGAGATGTTTCAGCTACTATGAAGATTATGGTCTCTGTACTTACCTCATAAATGGCCATTAGACATGGTGAACTGGCCACTTAATAGTAGGATGAAACTACTGCTGAAGCAGAATTGATTTGCATCTCAGTGATGTATTGTGTGCACATAAATCCAAAAGATTCTCACAAATCAAAAGCTTTCTAGCACTTCATTTTTACAAAAAGGCAACGAAGACATAGTAATATTTTTCAGTTATTTCATTTCCCAGAAAAAGTATTTTTGAAATCCAAAATCAAGAGTGGTTTGTAAACATTGTAATTCCTAAACTATAAAAATAAGCAATAGAGGATAGGTGTTTATAATGTTCAACTCTATGAAGTACTATTTCTCATTGAGACAGTTACTTACATCAAATATTTTTTCTATGTACATTTCTTCATTGACTTTATCTCGAAGTATATCTTGATTTTGACGAACAAACATAATGTAAGTATCTGCAAGATCCATCCCTGGTTTCTATTTTAGTAACAAAAAGAAGAAAAGTAAAAAAAAAAGATGAGAGAGAGATATAAACTTCAGAGGTACAACTTGCAGTATTATTTTTGTCATATACATGTTTGTATGTGTATACATATACATTATAAAATGCACATGCATGTACATATACATGATAAAATAAAAACCTGCATGCATATGCATATTATTTGTCTTATCCAACATTCATATAAGATTTAAGTGCAACTTAGATTAATCAATATGGATTCCTATTTTTTTTTAATAGGAAGCTGATTCTACCCTATTTTAAAGTTCCAGGGATTTTTTGAAATATATTCAAGAAAGTATTTTGAAGCAACATTGATTATACATATGTGTGTGTGTGTGTGTGTGTGTGTGTGCACACGCATGTGTGTGTGTGTGTGTGTGTGTATGTGTATGTATATATGTATGTATCCAGGTGCATATCTGGATATATTTTGCAAGTGTGGACACACAGAGGCAATAATCCAAAAAAAAAAAAAAAACCCAAAGAAACCTAGCACACAATAATGGGAGAAAATAACATGTTGATTGTGAATTAACAGGCTTCTATAAACAGCATGAGGAAATACATGAATACTATGAATAAATATTTAAAACAATTATATTACTCATCCATACATACACAGTTGTGGTCTGCAGTCTGGATGTATAGTAGTATAGCATGGATATGAAAACAAAAGATGGATACAATAAAGATTATCAATCAATAATTACTTCAATAGCCCAGTCTGAAACATTTCTTAGGTTCTGACAAATGAAAAACAGCAATTACTCATGATAAACATAAACAACTAAATTTCCATAATAGAAATTCAAAATCATCTTGGAAAACCATTTAAAATTCTAAATCAAAAGCTTAAAAAAGGAATGAAGAAAACAAAGAGACATAAGACCTTTCGCATTTGGCCCTGATTCAGAAAAAGTTCCAGAAACTCATGTGGAATATGCCATTATTTGTTATATTCACTTTAGTATAGCTTTAATAATGTACTAATTGTTATTTTAATAGTAGTAAACCATCAAGAATCCACAAGAAATGAAGTGGTGGATAAAATGCATAAATAAATAAAAAATATTTATAAAATATCTGAAAGTAAAAAGAAAAAAGATGCAGCTTGGAGATTTCAAAGAAAACAATATTAGAATACAAATATGAAGACTAGCATATAACGTTTGTTAATATAATTCTTTGATACTATCCACCCAATATTTTTTATGAACTTCAGTAGCTTTTTGTTTTATTCAATACACAAAACCTTGTATATTTTTTATGCATATATTGACTCTTTGGGATTCAGATTTATAGAGGAAAATTCATCACAATGGATTTAGAGTTTTTAAAAGGGTCTTTATAGTGCAAAATGTAGCATGCATCTATACAAAATAATTGTGTTTACATTACAAAAATTACCCAACCGTTCTCTGCTCTGGTCATTAAACAATGTACACTATAGAATGACACAATCTGTCATAAAGTAATCATGTTTTTAGCTTTCCTAATCACTGTAGAGTAGTCTGGGATGTTGTCAGTTTTGTCTTCACCATCTGCCTTCTAATTCTTTCCCCACTTAATAAATACATACTCATCGTGCTGTTCTTTTGAGTGCAGAAAAGGAGTAAAATCTAGTAAATCATAGAAATGAAGATCAGAAAAGATCAGGAAAAACAAATTTTTTTAGCTAAACCTAATCTACAACACCACCATTCGCTAAACTTATCCATAGCTTTCTTCCTTGCAAATTATCATTGCTTCCAATATGACCATAGAAGATGTTTCAGGCATGGAAGCTCATCCTCATGTAGATCCTAAACTGTACAAAGACCGCTGATATTTTGGAGGAGGAAAGATGATGATGAGAAGGTTTGAAAAGAGACATGGGGCTAATAGTTTTTTTTTTTTAAAGTTGCTATTTGGGAGAAAATGAAAGCTGAGGTTTGTCAGAATGTTTGAAAGTACTGTTCATCAGAGATAGAGCCTGATAGTACACCTATGTGATGGACAACAGATTTAAAGACTTCCAGAAAGAGGCACATAGCTCATAGATCTCAGACAGAATATAAAGAACAGAAGAGAGCAACTGTTAACTCCCTGTCTCTTTATTTTATACAATTAACTAAGTAGGAAACCGGACACATAAGAGAAGAGTCACAAGAAATAGCCACAAAGCTTGTTTAGCTAGCTAAAAGTGAAGACAATTTTCCCATGTAAGGTTAGAGATAATAACTGTTAATAAAACAAGCCCCTTTTTAACAAAGTGAGAAATCAAAAGAACTTGCAGAGAAGCAATAAAACAATACCCTTATATTTAAGAAAAGTAGAATCCTTAAAGTATCAGAAGAGCACCTTCAAAAGAGTTTTGTTTATAATATAAACTCATTGTAAATTATCTCATGCAATTCTGGAACAATCCCAGTTTAGTTTATAAATAGTCTGTTAATAAAAATGATTCCCCAGACTTCAGTTTTGTGCGGTAGCAACCGGTTGCGGGTTTGCGGATTCTCCGCACCCCTGCGGCTAATTTCGCTTGGCCTGGGGACCCTAAATGGGTCTAAGTTGCCCCAGAGAGGCGACAAAGAAAGAAGGGTGCTCCAGCGATTCTGAAATGGCAGCAACCATTCCATTCAACTTGGAGAAAGCCTTCTCGACAGGAGAAATGCTGGCCGTATTGAATTGACCAGCCCAAGCTACTTGCAACCGAAGTCCAAAAACACTAACCAGCACTATTGTGAACAACATGCTTGAAACTGGGTGAGGAATTTGATCTTCTCTTTTCTATTTTACATTTAATTTCCTGGAAAAGATCCCCAAGAAGCAAAATACCTCCGAAAGGGAAGGAGGGAGATTTCCACCCCACCCTTATACTAACAGAAGTGGTGAATTAATCTTTTTATGGAGGATCAAAATATATGGAAGTGAAATAAATATAAAACCTGAAACTTAAAATTTAAATTTGGATAAATCTAAAATTGTTTTAATGGTTAAGACTCTCATTTCAAAGATAATTGATCATTTTGAAAATTGAAAAACAAATAGTTGCCAACACCTAGTGGCAGATGAAGACTATGACAGCTATGACTTTAATATAAGACTTGGCAAAATCTGGGAAAAGCTAAGCTATGTCTGTGACCTTCAAAGCTTTAACAACAAAGAACAGCTGTGAAAAAAAGACAATAATCTGGGTTGTAAACAAAGAGAGAATTATAAATTTTAGAAAAAAATCTTTTGTGAACTATTTGGATTATAAATATCTGTCTAACTGGAACTTAAAGTTATTTACAGAGAAAAGAAAGGAAGAGGAAAACTCAAATCCTTGACTATCATGGATCAGAGACATGTAGAAAGAACATATCAAGAAAACATAAATACACCACAGGAGGAGATATATAGTATACCGCAACTAATTCAAACAACAATGATTTTAAACCACAAAGAAATCCAAAACAACTTTGAAAATATAAATCAATCTATTTTCAAATTAACTCTACAACAAAAAAATTCACAGAAAACAACAACAGAGAAGGAGAAGATAAAACAGATAAATGGATATAGAATTGAGAATAGAGGTTTAAAGACGGAACTTAACAAAACAAGGAAACATGATTTAATCCTAGTGGAAAAAAATTCACAAGAATTGGAAAAAATAACTTATGCCTTAAGACTACAAAATAAATCTGAGGACAAGAAAACAGACCGGATAAAATGGAGTGTAGAGATGTCAGGAATATTGGAGAGAAAGGAAATGAAAACAGAAGCGGAGAGAAAGAAAAAGAAAAAAGTTTTCAACAAGCAAGGAAAGACAGAAGTCCAGTACAAAGACACTTCTCCTGATCTACTTTTTATATCTACAGCAACATTCACGAACATATGAAAAAAAAATTTGATTCAGCAAAATACATTGATTAAGAAAGACACTGGGCAAAAGAAAAACACTAAAGTGGAAACTAAGAAAATAGATGATGGGACTTACCAGAGTGAATACTTAAAAAAGAAACATTTGTTTGAATATGGTTAAAGAAATAGAAAGGTTTTGGAATATATATCTCTAAGAGGGATGAATTCCCTAAATATAACATAGTATGCTTTTTTCCCTTTTTTGTTCTTTCTTGATATGAGTAATATAAAAAAGTTGAAATGACTTAGATAGAGGAAATGTTTTAGATATTTAAATGTGATTGAATTTAAGAAAATTATAATGGATAAAAATATTTTGAATAAGAGTTAAAGGTCTAGATGACTAGATGTATTAAATGGAATGTTTAAAGATTAAACATATTTTTAATTATGGTTAAAAAGAACAAGAAATTTAGGAAATAAATACATATTAGCTTAGGAGGGATATATATTTTAAGTAGTATGTTATTTTCTTATGCTTCTTTACTCTTGCTTTTTTATCTTTTTTTCTACTGTTTTATCTATTTTTTTAAGAAATGTAAAAGTGTGAGATGGTTCATATGGAAAAATAGAGTTAAATTCTTAAATGTAATTAATTTTTGAGAAAATCTTAATCAGTAAGAATATCTAGAATTTGGTGGGAGAAACAAATTAAAATAAAGACTGTAACAGGATCTATGATAAGGCAATCAGAATGATTGGATAGAAAAAAAATATTATATTGATGTGATTATTTTTAGAACTATTGGGAAAAATTACATATTTAATTGTTATCTATCAAAACAATAAGAATTGTATTAACTCAATGTTTGCAAAAGAGAATATTTTGGGAAAAGAAGAAATCAACTAAAACTATTATGTGGATTATGGATTATAGAAATCAATTGTTAGTGATTGTTTTACAAATGTAACCCAGACAACACACTATTCACCAATTATTAAGTGATTTATGTTTTAAAAAATAATAAAATATATTACAAAAAATGATTCCCCATCAGCAGTTATCTATGATTTATCTAGTTCGTTCCCATCCTGAAAACATTTGAACTATGATAACTGTTTCACATATTACCGTTATTTTTTTAAAGTTCTCACTTGTCTCTTTTTGAAGATCTCATCAATTCTACCCAACAACTTTTACAATCTTCCTCTTGACACATTCACTCTTCCTTCATATACTTGTTTTGCAATTCATCCTCATTCATTCTCTCCACATGACAAAACCTCTTTAATGTACTTCTTTCATACGTATAACTCACTTTTGCATTTTTTTCACATTCATACAGCTCTCATATGATCTTGATCCTATCTTTTCTTAACATGTATACTTTTTAAGTACTTCATTCCCACACCATTCAATTTGTTTGCTTTTCCTGACATACCCAATTCATACTTTCTTATAATAATAAACAGGAACAAAATCCTAAATACAGCTCTTTTGCTTCTTTCACCTTTTAGTCAATGCAACAGATCTCTTCAGCATTTGGCCTACTTAATAGTTTTTCATCCATCTCACCACCTTTAATAAACATCTTAACTAGGAAACAGAAATTCACTTAACTGTTCTAGTTTTTTTGCCACTGGTGTCTTACCTGATATCATTCACTCTTATTTTTCCTGTCAAACACAACTATTTTGGGCTCTGGTATTTTAATCTTTAGACTGATCCTTGTTGCAACATATAATCTGTCTAATGTGAAGTTTTTTTTGTGCTCCCCAAGCATAGTTGTTTATTTGCAGACATTTCA